ACTTGCCTATGAGCAGAACAATGTATGGCTTTCAAATATGGTCGTTCTGTTTCCTCCGCCATCCTGACCACTACACCACTTTTCTTCCCCAACATAACTGACGCACCATCCGTACCCATTGCCACAATTTTTTTTCTCCATGAGTCCCCAAACCTCCTATCTAATAAGGAAGAAATTGCCCTCGTGATGTTAGGTGCATCGGCTTTTCCTACATGTTTCAGACCAGCAAAGAAGGTAGATACCTATATTAAGAGACAAAAGAAGTGATTATTTTTTTTTTAGAATTATCAAGATAATAATTGGTCATAAGTAAGACAAGAAATTAAAGTTACTAAATCATTAAACTTTGGTCATTTTCTTTAACTAACTGTTTTGTGGTAAACATTGAAGTACTTAATGGACTATTTTCATAATTACAACATCTGATATATGCAAAAATGTCAAAGATTAGCATTATGTTCAAACTTTACATTCTCAGCTTGGAAACAAGCATGTATTGTTTTGATAGGAGACAGTCAAAATTTGCAAGTACATCACGTGATCATCTGGAATTTCAAACTGGGCGAAAGACATCGTGAAAATATAAATGAATACCTTGCACATGAACGATGACCGTAGGTAGACTATTTCTGTTTCCTTTGATGCACAGTCTGTGGCTCCATCAGAAATAATACTAAGGAAAGGGGCTTTCTCCACCAGTTCCTTCTGCTCATGTCTGCGAGTGTCAGCAATGGCAGCTATGAAATGTTGGCAGTATTTATCTGTCCTGTATGTGTTTCCTATCTGAGTACCCTTGGCCTGATCCAAGTCACACAACTTAACAAAGTCTGTGAAAGGCCTTCTTGACTTTGCTACAAAATGAGCGTTTCTAAACAATGTACATAATTTCCCCACTGCAGCCTTGTTCATCATCACAAGTGTTTTTTCAGCTTTTGATGTTCCTGGCATTGATGTAACTGCCTTTTCCTTCAAAACTGACCTACGGTGACTGTCTGACTGGTCGTGTTTTTTTATTGGATCAAGCCTGAAATTATTTGTCCCTTTCACGAAATTATTACTATTGCTACTGTCGTACTTTTGACATACCCGACAGTACATTTTCCCGTCATGAAAAATTAACCAATTATAGTTAATTTTCCAGTTCGACTGGAAAGTCCTCTGTCTGACCGCTTCATATTGCGATGCCTTTTTTGTGACGCTTTCCTCTGGTGACGTCTTCGTCTTCTTTAGATTCTTAGGAGGAGGGGTGCCGTCCAGCCACCGCCACATGGAAGCCATGATTGGAAATGTCAGAAGTTCTCGCTGTCAATCTAGCGCTTTCCGTGCTCAGCGGAAGATCGCTAGAAATTCAAACGCCCGAATGACGCTGTGAGATACTCCAAAACACGCTTGAAATGACGCAATACGATTCAAGCGCATTAACGAATCTGTGACTGGAAACGTAAATAATGTGAACGGGATGGTTCTACATTTAGATTTAGTTTTGACGACCAAACACGGACGAATTCGTTAAATAAATGTGGGTATACTGAATTGGTATATTTTAAAAGATTTGGTAGCCCGCCGGGCTACTGGGTATGGGATCTTTGGTAGCCCGTCAGTTATTTTGGTAGCCCCGGGCTACCGGGCTACCGCTAGTGTCGAACCCTGAATATAGTGTACAGTAAAGGTAAGATAGCCTTCTGTGGCGCAAGACGTCCAGGTGTCTGTGGTGAATGCAAGGACAGACTGTTGTTTTAGTTGTGCTATTAACACGGTTTTGTAGACCGAGTAATAGTATTTTGTATAATTCCTAATTGTAGTATGGCAAGGAATTTTGTACGTGGGATCTAAGAGACTAACAAATTTTCTGAAACGAACGCCGTTCACGATACTTAATGGCCGAAGATCCGTCGCACACATTTCAACTAAAGATTTGGTGATATTCTGCCACTCTGATTGTGGTTTCGGCCTTTTGGCTTGAAAGGTCAATGTTGATTGGACAGGTCTTTTCTGGCCGGTAGTCTTCCAATGCCAAAAAGTTTACTGAATCTGAGATGGTTCAATAAAAAACATGCAACACTGTTACAGATACTCTGTAAGTTTATTTAATTAATATTTAATTTTTTTAAACGTAATAGGATTTTTTCCCTTACAGATACCTTTAAGTATTTAGATGAAGTTCATGAACGTGAATGTCAGAAAAAATTAATAGTCCTAAATAGATTCCATAACCTTCTTGATAAATCCGGAATATGTTGTGTCCGGACTCCGGAGTCTCCGGACTTGGTTCTGTCGCTCAGAAGCGACTTGAGAAAGCAAAGATGTCTGACAGCGGTATCAACACAACACATGCGTTCGGATTTAATTGTCGAGTCTTCAATGAAAGATATTGCTGAACTATCTATGAAGTAATAAGATATTTATGGAAGAAATGTTGGGTTGAAATTGAACTTGTTTCATTGATCATTCGACGAAATCAATAGGCCTATACCAGCACAATTTATCTACAATAATGTCACAACAAACATATATACATTTCTGTACCTGTCGCTTCCAACTGTTGCAGGATGTTTGGCTTTGAGATGATTTGCAAGATTGGTCGTCGTCCCTTTATAGGCAAGTTTGACGGTACATAATTTGCATTTCACTTGCGATGTATCTTTTTCCAAATCGAAATGGGGCCAAACCCAACTTCTTTTTTCAGCAGCCATCGCCGATGGAATTGGTCTGTTCGGCAAATGGCGCTTTGTATCGAATATTCGAATACCAAAACTTGCATTCGAATACCGGCAAAAACTATTCATTCGCAAATATTCGGATATTCGTTTCAGCTCTACTGTTGAATACACAAAGAACTTGATCTGCAGCCACTTTATGCATATGAAAAAAAATTCAGTTTGCAGGTGCACCATCACATGTTAAAAATAGCACTTTTAGGTTGATGATTTCAACAATATCCACGGCCTTCTAAACAATTGGATACAAAAAGTCTGCGGTTATACATGTAGCAAATCCAGCCAGAGGAAACTTAAATCTGTCGAACACCACGCGTCATAAGAACAAGCATGAGTTTTGCAGTAGCACATTTTGAATTATCTGACAGTTTTTGCAGTTCCAGAATTTGGCTTCCAACTTTATCTAGGTTGCAATAGTCAATAAGTTCACCAGTATGCTTGGCTTTTGATTTCCCCTCCACGTAAACTACCTATTTTCTGTTGTGAAATAATAAACTTTCCATATGTTTGATTGATCTGATATTAATATGGTTTCAGCAAAAGATATCAATAAAATTAAAACAATCGTTTGATTAAAATTCAATATACTAGTTGTTTGCATTATTGTGGACCACAGGCAATGAACGTGTTAATATCTTGCATCTTTTGATTTCCCCTCCACGCAGTTTTTGATTTCCCCTCCACGTAAACTGCCTATTTTCTGATGTGAAATAATAAATTTTCTATATGTCTGATCTACCTGATATTAACAGGATTTCTGCAAAAAATATCAAAGAAAATAAAACAATCATCTGCTTTAAGGCTGAATAATAAAAATTCAGAATAAAAACAAATGGTCAAAGGATACAAAATCTGTGCAACAGTTGCTACCAACAGTGCCACATGGGTATATACGCTATATCAAAATGCCATTCACAACAATTAATGCCAACAACAACAAAAGACAGTATCTAGCCCGGCAGATACCAACATAAAAGGAAAATGTCAAAAGTTTGATAGGCATCAGGTCATTGGTTGTATATACCCATATGTAGGCCAGTTGACACCTAGCTTTGGCAATATACGCACATATTTAATCCAATACAACAAAATAAAAAACACAATAGTAAGTCAAAGGAAACATAAATTTAAAAAAAAATGGCCCCTTCTTTCAAGTTCCGGATTTGTTAAAGAGCCAACAAAAACCCCCTTTGTGAAAGTGGTGGATTTTGACAGAAAGGAATGGGGATGGGAAGAGTTCCTCAACCCAATGGCTGTAGCCTCCAGGTAAAATTCAGAGTGAACATTGCCCCATGAAGTTTGGGGAAATAACCGATGCCAACGGCGAAAGTTATTACCATAATATAAAGCCGCAGCAAAACCAGACGTCTTGGACATAGTCTGCACAATGTCGGCCTGAGGGTGAGACTGCACATATATGTGAACAAAGATGTGGAAAGCAGAGAGCCACTGTTCAACTGATTTAACCTGGAATGGTTTTTTTTGTCTAGGAACCAACGCCAATTCATTGGTTTTTAAACGAAATCAATGTAGTTGATTTGTGTTAAGTAGTTGAGAATTAGTTTGTGTATTTTTTGTTCTACTGTGCTAGATTGTAAGATTGTGTGGATGTTGTTTGTTGATATATTTAGTTTCCCCAGTTCTTGTAGGCGTACTGTTGTGTGTTTGTTGCTTCAATGACTCAGCCGGCAGCGTACGGGACACTGTAAGGATTGACAGATTGAGAGCTCTTTCTTGATTTGGTGGGTGGTGTTGCATGGCCGTTCTTATTTGGTGGAGTGATTTGTCCGGTTAATTCCGATAACGAACGAGACTCTAGCCTGCTAAATAGTTCACCAATCCGCTCTGCGTCGGTGCAACTACTTAGAGGGACAAGTGGCGTTTAGCCACTCGAGATTGAGCAATAACAGGTCTGTGATGCCCTTAGATGTTGGGGCCGCAAGCGCTCTCCACTGAAGGAATCAACGTACCTTATCATTGCCCGGAAATGTTGGGTAACCCGTTGAACATCCTTCATGTTAGGGATTGGGGCTTGTAATTCTTCCCCATGAACGAGGAATTCCTAGTAAGCGCAAGTCATAAGCTCGCGTTGATTACGTCCCTGACCTTTGTACACCCCGCTTGTTGCTACTACCCAATTGAATGGTATAGTGAGCTACTCGGATTGGTCCCGACACGGGGGTCGGTTTGCCTCAAGTCGGTTTGCCAAAAAGAAGAGCAAGGCTGGCAGGAAGGCAGGCATCAAGGCAGGCAATCAGGCAGGGAGTCGGGCAAGAAAGCAGGCTATTGGTCTAGCCAGCTTATTCTCTGTCCGTTTTCTGCTCTTCTAACTCCATAATCAAATAAAAGTTCTTCGTTGAAGTTAAATTCCCTCACCGCTTGGATAAAGATATGGGATTTGCCCCTTATTTTCCGCTGTATGGGTTTACAGTTGATATTAAGTCTTGAGTGGCTGATTAGCTGGCCGAATGTTCCTTCAACCTTTTCTGGATGGCATTCACATGGTATCCTGTTGGCATTTACGCACGTTTGTTTCCCTCCATCGTTATAAAATGTGATATAGTTGGCATTTTCGTCCTTTACTTCTTTAAGTAGGGCTTCCTTTCCTTGACTTGCTGGGGCATGTTTTCCATGGTAGTTACAAACAATTTCCCCTTTTCGTATTAACAGTGCTTTGTTTCTGAAAATTCTTCCCTTCTTGGGGTCCGTTGCAATACTGCATTTAGGCCAATCCTGTACAGATACCTTTTGCATTAGTTCATCATCGTTTTTTGGATCTCAGCAACAAGTTTGTTCCTTTGAATAATGGCAGATATCTTCCTTCTCATGAGGTCTTTATCCTTTTAACTGGGACGCTTGTCGTTGCCGCAAACTTTCTCTGCCAATGCTCGGTACTCTTTGTCCTAAGTCCTGAATTCTGGAACCTTTGTAATCTGTTCCACTCTCTTCTTCTTCGTCTTAGCATATTTATCAAGAAGCTTGCTGGCAATTTCTTTGAATTCGGCATCATCACGAATGTATTTTGCTTGTCTGATTGCTTTGAGAGCAATAACTGGCCTTACTCGATACTTCTTTTCTTCTTGGAACGTCCGCACCATTAGGGTGCATTTGTTTCGTCATGTCCAACACAACTTTTTCGGCAATTTCTTGCACCAATTTAGCATCTGTTGCTCCTTCTGGTTCCTCGTCCCAGCTATCCGATGTGCCATTGTCTGAGTTGAATTCGTCTATTTCTTCGTCCGTTTGTTCCACTTTGTCAGGTTTTCGGGAAACTTTGGTGGCCTTTTCTTTCCTTCCTGTTTTGTCTTTGGGACAACCTCCCAAGATGGCAATTGATTTCACTACGCTAACTGCACTGGACGAGGCAAAATTCCGGTAGTATCTGTCTCTGATCTGAAATAGGAAATGACAAATAATAGAAACGTGTCACTTTATCTCAACTTCAATACAAACAGATTATCTCAACTTCAATACAAACAATTACTATTTATATATCGAATGTTTCATTAAAGTATTCAGTACTGTGTTGTGAACTATTTGACATAATTATGAAAAACAATTTAATCAACATAGTCAGGGAGTCGGGCAAGAACATAACATAATTATGAAAATCATCATTGAATCTATTACATTTTATCCTGTCTAAAAGAATGTCACCGGGTCCTAATAATTTAGCCGGCTCAGGTGTCCGGTTTGCAGAGGTTCAATTTACATTTAGATAATGACAATTGGACCAAACAATAAGACCTTAATATCCAGTCTTCCGGAATATACAGGGGCTGGTTTAGACAAGCTATACTGTATATTTAATATTATTTGATAAACTTGCATTTGTACTGTGGCAGAGAAAGGTTGCTATATCTCTTTACTTGTTTTCCGGGACCCTCTGGCATGCTCTTTCGATGGCCTTCCTTGCATTGTTTGCTTTGATCCTTTTACAGCCTATCTTTTCTTGCAGCTTTGCCACACCTGTACTCACTTTCGCAAAAGCCCCTCTGTCATGCTGAAGTAACATTTGTTTTTTCTCCATGTCTGTTCACTATAGCACTCCTTATATTCTCTACGTATTTCTCCATGAATGGTATCATATGGTCCTTCAACTCAAGTTTAGCCACGTATTGTTATGAGGTTTTGTGTTCTGTGATGTCTATAAGAATATAGTCCTTTCCATCATCGGTTACCTTGTTCATCAAAGCTCTTTGATAGTCTTCCCACCTAATGTTTGTTATTGACGCAGGACACATCCCATACGCGCAGACACTATATGCTGCAACGTAGTAATTGAGGTTTGCTACTTCATCACGAGACTACACACCTGCAGACTGCACCAAGTTCATCATTTCAGGTTTCGCCTTTTCAATAACCTCGTTGCATTCTTCAACGCTTTAGGATTCGGTGCTGTCCCTCTTTTCCGCCTGTGCTCCTGGCCCACAATTATGTCATTTCCTGTGGCATGGTCCTCGACTTCGGTCATGACAGCCTTAACCAATCGTTGTTGTTCATCAGAAAATCCGTCAAACATTTTATCAATTTTTATCAAAATTTTCCTACTTTTAAGGTAGTTTGCGATGGTGGATGCAGCTACTCTAACCTCCTTCAGGAGGTCAATGAATTCTTTGACTCCCTCTGTTGACATTTGCTCTATCTCAAACACATCCTGTTTTCATCCTATCCAGTACAAGATGCGCGTCACGTAGCTTAGATGATTTCGTATGACACTAGGCTTTTTTAGCATGGTTTTCAACCTTCCTGTAAATTCCACAAACAAGGGTTGGTCTCGATATCCCGATGGAACCCGCAACAGATCATCTAAGTATTCTCGCTTTGCCTTGGTATTGTAGACTAATTCAGCATGATGCTTTCGTTGTTAGGCTACGGGTAGCTTTCCGTGGTATTCTGATAATTCTTTCAAAAATGGTTATACATACTATATATTCCCCACATTGTATTTAATTTTCCTAGAAGATACATTTCAAAGTATCTTTCTATGTATGTTAGTTTTGATATTAGAAGCATTTAATCAATGGTAAATTGGATTAAAATCGTAATTCCGTCGGGATAGGGGAAGAATTTTAGTATAAATTGAAGCAAATTCTTTATAAACCAATACAAAATATCTATTTTCTGCATTTTTCTTAATATGCCTACAAAATGGAGTTTAAATTATATGTCTATGTTGTTTACTTATAAAGTTATAAGGTTTTAATGCATGTCTAACCGGTCAAAATTGTCAATAATTATAATACAAATGAATTTCATTGATTAGAAAATAAGATTTCACTTACCTTAAGATAGAATATAATATCCCAATTTACACATTAAATGCAGAAATGGTAATGAAACAAAATCATGTTAATTTTTATATTATTCCTATTCAACAGCTTGATACATAACTGTCACCTTCGGCATACAGGTAAAACCTACCTAGGTAGTTTGACTCAAGTGTCACTGAGACGGCTCATTCCCCGAACACCAACTCTGCCAACTTGAAAGGAGGGTGTTTATAAAGGGAATCATTTGATGTTATAGTCTGTTTCAACTAAGAATGTCTACTTGTCCTTGTAAATAGGATACTTTCATATCAATAAGGAAATAGGTAGGTTTTTTTTTACATATACAAATGTAACACATTTTTGTAGTATATGAAGTATTACAAAATAGTTAATCATTACAATTATAAATACTAATAATTAATATCATATAAGATTATATTTAATTGATAAATAAAATTTAGTAAGTCACAATGATACACTGATGTCTGTTATTAAATTGTATTTTACCCACATTTTAGCATTAAATAAATTATTATCTAATATAAATAGTAAACCCCTAAATGAAGCTGAATTAGCACTATATATGTATGACAATACATTATCCATTTATCTTGATATTATGTCCTTTTACAACCTGTGATAATCAAGTAATCCATAAGTCCACAAAACACTCTATCCAAGATGCAGAAGCTCGGATGCTGAATCAGCATAGGTCATCAGGTCGATTGTCCCAGTCTGGTAACGGTCCTTCAAGTCGGCCAGGCGTCTGTCAATGTTGGCGTATTTCTTCTTCCGGTGTTGATTGTTGCCTCCTGCGTCTCTCTGAATCCGGCTGATGTCGTTCATGTTTTGTATGTCCTTAAACGTCTGGATGATGGTGTAGATGTTGGGGTGGACATGCAGTACCTTCTTCAGTTTTCCGTGCCAAGCTTCCAGATGATTGGTAGTCCGGCGTCCCTCGGTTGAGAAGTGGTTCCAGGTGGTACGATCTCCCTCTATCCATTGCTTCGTGACGTAATCGGTGAATGGCAACACGGGATGTGGAATGTCAGCATCATCAGCTTCTTGGAGGGTTTGGAAGCGGACGTCCTCGATGCGGTCTAAGGGGATCAGTGGTAGAACAGCAGCTCGTCGTACAAGTAGCTTGACGTCGTCGTTGTCACGGTACAGTGTCTGGAGTCCGGTAGACTGGGCCTTTCGCCAAATGCACTGGATGAAGTGGAAAAAACATCCCTTAATGGTGATACCGTGGAAAACATGTCGGATGGCGTTGTGTGCAGCTACCTCAAATTCACAATTGACTGTCCCCTCACATTCATTAGTCTCAAGTTCTGCCTCTTTGATAATAGTGTCGTACTTTGCACTCCATCCTATCAATAAAGATTTTACATCATAAATAAACTATGACAACAAATTTCAATGATGCATTTTATCAAATACACCTGTTGATCTAGTGTGCAAAAACCATTTACATTATTGTACATTGAATTATTAACTTAAAGTGACTTCAAAAAAATTTTTTTTCTTCTTGCCAATCCCATTGATACCTGATATTTTTTTAAGAAGAAAAAGCAGAAGAAACTATCATAAGAGTAAAGGAGATCATTAATTTTCTTAATGTCTCACTAGGAGTCGAACCTGGGACCTCTCGCCAGGGACGTATATAACAGAGTTTACTAATTATACGTCCCTGCTCTCGCTTACTAGTGTTACACTTTACCGAATGAGCTAACAATGTCTCCCTAGCTGAGTTGGTAGGAAACAGCTAGTATTTACAAGGCTGACCTAAGATTTTCTTTAGAGGAATTGCAAGATTACATTTGATTATACAGATTTTTCTAGATATAATGATATAATATTAATTATGTATCGAAAGTGTTAATGATCACAAATTTATGCATACCTATAAGGAGACTTGGGTTTTAAAAAAATCCTGAAGATTCTTAATTAATGGTATAACATTGGTACTTTATTTTTAAGTTATAGACCATAACTGTTACTGTTCAACAGCCTGTGTTAAATGTAACGCACCTCATGATGAAAGTTTACGCATGCATATACAGTTAATGATAAATAATTTTAAAAAGTCAACAAAATGCTGAAAGCAATAACTATCAATAGCATTTACTACAATATACCTGTAAAATGAACTTTGACATAACCATCTTCTGGGCTGGACAGGACTTCCACTGGATACAATCCTGCTTTCCACTCTTGTTATTTCAAACTACTCTTTCTTGCCCTTGGCAATTCAACTAAGTTCAAATCTCTGCAAAAATATTGATTTTACAATATACAAATAAAATTTGACATTTACTCTTTAGATGTACCCGGAATCTGTGGGGGAAAGAGTGTGAATGTTTTTTGTAACTTTTTATTTTTTTCTTCAAACAGAATACATTGAAAGACAATAAACATACCACACTTTCTTATTTATATTTTATATCCCATTCAGCTTTTCTTCTTACAGTCACTCATCATACACTTACATTCATACATCACCTTCACTTCATCTATACAACACTCCCAACTGGTATATTAATTATATAGGATATATTCATTCATCCTTCACCTATACTACATTCACTCATATTTCACCTGCACCTCATTTATATAACAAAAACACTCATAAAAGATTGATTCACTTATATTTCATACACTACATTTTCACTAATTCTTCATATATATATCATACACCTATACAAACTCCCCTGAAGGAAGTGTTCACTCATTTTTCCACTATGTATACATATTCACTCATTCTTCACCTATACAAACATTCTTACATGTTATTATCACTCATACTTCACCTACTCAAAAAACACAGAACAAATACACATAACTACATAAAAGGAATATATCTCAGAAGGAGAAAGAGAGGGAGAGAGAGAGAGAAAGAGAGAGAGAGAGAGAAATTAAGAGGGAGCTGCCTGGGAATGTATAACCACATACTAGAAACACAAATTTATGATGCTAAGTTATCTCAAGAAACTTTTCCCATTTTCTCCATACTTTTTTAAACTCATCCAGTACCAGATTCCCTTTTCCAGTAGCTATGAATTTCTGGACACAATATGTTTCCTTAATTAGATTCTTGAGACCATGAATAGATAATTCCGTTTTTAAACATCTAGAGCTATAGATGTACTGTTTCATTATCAATATTATTGTGTTGTCCATAGAGCTGTCCGGTTATGGGAATTGACCTTCGGTTTCGGTTTCGATTCGGTTACTTGATTAAAAGTTGATTCTCGGTTTCGGTTTTCGGTTTTATTCAACAATAGATCTATAACTTGTTCACAACTCGTGAGACAATAAAATAAATAACAAAATATGATATTCCAACTCAAACATGAAAGAGAAACAAAAAATATACCACCTGGTATTTCAACAAGAATGCACAAACCTATCAACAGTAACAAGACAGAAAAAAATAATAGAAAATATAACAGGTTTGGTTTCAGCTATAATGAATATGTTATAACACAGTCTGGAGTTTCAAAATTCGAAACTTGTTATGGAGCTGCAAGTGTGCAATATGGTTCAAAGAAAACAGTAACAATAATAACATAGGCAAGACTAGACTGACTAACACTTCTTGTGCCATGAATGAGTATTGAACAAAACTGATTTTTTGAACACATCAGGGTGTTAATTTTCCTTCTCAACCAAGTCAGTACCACAGTTCACTGTCGCAGGTTATGTCCGAGAAAGGTAAGTTGCTCAGCAAAAAATGGCTCAAGACAGGATCTTCGATTGGAGATGATGAGACCAGATTTGCTGAACATGCGCTCGCTAGGAACAGAGGTGGCTGGTATCGAAAGAAAAACCTGTGCCAACTTTGCAAGGTTTGAGTACCTAGTCTTGTTTGTTTTCCACCAGTCGAATGGAGATTTCTCAGGTTCCAAAAGTTCCTCACTACAAAACAACTAAAGTTCATGTTCCATCTTTTCCCGTAGATTATCAGTTGAGTGCTCAGAAGCAGTCTGCTTCTTCTTATCTACCATTTTCTTGAATATTTCCCACACAGTCTTCTTTGACGTCGTAGCAGTCTCTGATGACTCAGTCACACTAGCAGACTGCATTTTGATGTCAGATTCACATGCACTCGGAGTTTCGATAACTTGAGGATTCTTAGCATTGTCTAACATCAGCTGCACTATTTCTTTTGCTGTCCGGTCTCTGGCTGTGTCATCATTGAACCCATAATTCTTGAACCTGGGAGGTATGTGGGTATTGCAAACTCAAGCTTCATCTCATATTCAGGCCATCTGGCATTGATGTTGGCATGTATCTGCTTTCCAAAATCATTCATTTCAACGTCTTTCATCTGCTCATTCAAAACGTGCAGGACTGGGATTATCATTGAGCTTGTAGCATATCTAGACGCAGACATCATGTTTGTTGCATCCTCAAATGGTTTCAGGGCACTTACATAACTTGCAGCGATCTTCCACTCAGATTTTTTAAGATCATTTATCTTATCGTTCGTAGCTAATACAGCGGTTACTGATTCTCTTTGCTCGACTAGTCTCTCCAGTAAATAATACAATGAATTCCACTTTGTTGGGCATTCACTCTTCAGACGATGCACAGGCACACCCAATGATTTCTGCTTCTCAGCAAGGCTGTGTGTATCCTTTGCGCTTGCATGAAAATGTTTAGTGATAACTTTAGCCTTCGCAATTACTTTTTCAAGCCCGAAGAATTTCTTGACTGCATCGTTCACAGCAAGTTGTAATGTATGAGCAAAGCAATTGAGAGGAACGAACTTAGAAGATGGAAGTTGTCTCATAGCTGCTTGCACATTTGATGCATTATCTGTCACAACATAGATCTTCAATGTCCTTTCGTTATAATCTGGGATCCATACGTCGAGGCAGGAAAGTAGAGCTTCAGATATGTTCACTGCTGTGTGTGATTCAGGCATATGTGCAACATTTAAGCAGTAGTCACTGATGGTGAAGTTATCTGATAAGAAGTGAGCGGTCACTGCCATGTAGGCATCTTGTGCTACTGAGGTCCAATGATCTAGAGTAATGCCCAAGGACACACAATCCTTCAGTTTTGATTTTATCACTGACGATTGCTCCATATATGCCACACATATTGTAAGCTGGCTGAAGGCAATGAATGAATTCACGAAAACCCTGGTCATTTACGATGCTGACAGGCTGAAGGTCAATACATATCATTTCAGTTAATTTTTTATTACAATCTCTCTGTCTCTTGTCCTGAGAGCCCCACTTTTTGTCCTGTAGGAAAGGCACCATTTTTGTTTGTTTACTTGATGTTCCTGGGGATTCGCTGGGGACTGCTTCATCCTGGAACGAGCAGAATATTCCCAATTATAGGTAGGGCCTATAATATATTTGAAATATGAATTCAAATTTAAATTCAAACAATCCATCTATTTACTCTCCCAAGCTATCATTCATTCATAAATCTTTTAATTTAATTCATTTTCCAAATATTTTTATCTTCTTTTTTTTATCTATTTATCTTACTTTATTAGGGATCGTGATTATTATTCCCATATATTATTCCTGTCTGGGTACGTCTCTTTAAAAGTGTGGCCATTTCGAAACGATCTCTCAAAAGAAAGCTTTTATTTCCGCATGCATTTGATCGTTCATATAATCCATTTTATGAAAACGGCCCGTGTACTTTAGACTGCAAGAAACATTGCCTGAAAGTCTGTATTATTAGGTAACTTGAGTTGAACACACGACTGTTTTTTTTTTTCTTAGAAACTTACCTTCAATTTACGCTTCAGCGATGCCTTCTCTTCGAGAGCTTTTTTCAGCTGTACTGCTTCGGTTTTATGCGAAGTTTCGATATGTCGCGTGAGATTGCTGGTATTACCATAACGTGCTGCAACCTTTTTACCTCCTGGGCATAATTTACATTTAGCGAATGTTTTATTTTTTCCTAGTTTCTCGAAATATAGCCACACAGGACTGCTTTGCTTGACGCTGCCCGCCATAACCACGTTGTTACTGTTGATACCGAAAGTACGGTTATTTGTGCGCATGCTCGGTTCGTATTTCCGGTTTTTTGAGACTACCGATATCGAGTTGCCTTTTCGGTTAACCGGACAGCTCTAGTTGTCCACTACAAAATTGATATTGTTCCTATTCAATATTCCAAATAAAAAGGATTCTTTATTATATGCAAAAGGTATTGAAAGACTGTCCACAAGATATTCAAAATTCTGTAAAAATCTTTGTACTTTTTCACATTCCCATAGGGCATGAATAATTGTTTCTGGTTCTGTTCCACACTGGAAACAGGAAGAACTATTTTCTATCCCTATTTTTGATAGGTAAGTGTTAGTAGTTAAAATATGCTGATTTATCCTATACTGTAACCAGTGTAATTTGGTATTTTTTGTTACTTTAAAAGGCAATTTGTATATTTGTTTCCCATGTAAATGAGATAAAATGTACCTATAACAACTATCTCCAGTCAGAAAATTGGGTTGTCCTCACAAAAATGAGAGATAATGTCCCCATAACATCTTCAGATTACTATTTCTAGTCTGGAAGTTGGGTTGTCCTCACAAAAATGGAAACATCCCCATTTTGTGTAAGAAAAGATTTTGTCCCCTGCATAAATAAGAAAGAATGACACCACAATATTTATATCAATATTGCCAAATGAAAACAAAAAATAATAAACCAGTTTGTCCCTAGAATATCTCCAGCCACACAGACAGATTGACCCCACAATGTTCTCATCATTATCTCCAACAGAATTTCTAACATTAGAGATCCAATTATAAATGCAAGAATTTGAATCATAGCCACAAAGGGATGCTTCCTACCAAACTTAGTTTAGATCCGACTAGCGGTTCAGAAGAAGTCAATTGTTGAACGATGAATGCCACGGTATGACATAAGCTCACCTTGGCCCTTCGGTCCAGGTGAACTAATAATCTATCCAGTACACCTCAAGAAATGGCAATGTTCAAGAAGAATTGTTTAAGGACTGATTGTGTACGGACCATAGATGCAAGATGATTTGAATAGCCTGCTATTTGATGATGGTGGGATAAACATACAGCCTTACAAAACTGTACTGTATAGTGCAGAGATGTAAAATATTTAACATATATATATTCTGTACTCACAGCAACTGGCTTCAGTGCAGGAAAAACATCTGAACATGCATCATCGGATTCAGAGTCTGCTACAAGATCTGTAACATTACAAAAAAAGAAGGATCTGTATCAATAATACTGGGCTTTTGTGTAAGAAAGCACTTTGGTGCAAGAAAACATTAAAAACAAGTATTATATGAAATAGATGTTTTTAAAAACTATTAATACATCGAAGCACCCCGGAAGTGCATATCAAAGATAAAACTTCTGCATAATCCTCTATCAGTCACTGCATACACTTCTACCTGGGTACATACTGCCAAAAATATCTGTTATTTTTACAGGGTTAAGACAAAGTCTAGTTTATAATACGAACATTATGAAGATCTGAAAGGGACAGATTTTCCATAACAGGTCATTATCATGCTAGATTTAATTGCTGATCAGTCTAGAATATTCTAGGTTATCTTTCACATAAAGATACATGTATTACAGAATTCATTATTTTTAGTGACAACATTACTTCTGAAGTTTTTCAAGCAAATATTGTTTTAAAACATGTCACAATTGTGTATTTACTTGAGATTAAATTAATAATTTTGATTTTGGATAACATATTTCAAATTGTTTAAATTTCTATGCTGTTTTTTTTTTTTTTTTTTAAACATTTGCATTTTCACTTATACAAGCTACTGATTCTAATGGAAAAAAATATATTAATACCATTATCAAGCCCCATGCCATCAATTTCCATGTCAATATTCCAGACCATGTCATCAGCATCATTCTCTTCCATGTCAAAACTGCTTTCTTTCCTCATGGCACCAACCTCCGGTGTTCATCAGCATTTTCCATGTCACTTTCCTGTGACAAATGCAATGTGTCGCTAGTCATGTCTACATCACTTCCCTGCCCTGTTTCACTAGTCTTGTCCATGCCGATTTTCTGTGACACATGTTCTGTGTTATTATCCTTGAGCTTGTCCATATCCCTTTCCTGTGACACATGCACTGTGTCACCAGACATCTTTACTACTTGTTGCATGATATTTCTATTTTCCTTCTCCATGTTATCAACTGGGGCCTTAAACAAGATAGGTTTGTGTTCATCTTTCTGAAAAAAATCGAGAAGTATATCCTTTTAATATTTCACTATATATACTTTTTAACATTTAACATTAAATTGTACAAATGGGCTTACAGTCTCTGTCCCCTAATTAAGTCCCATAGTGAGCTGTAACATAACAAAAGTTGTATTTGATATCCACGTATCAAAACTACTTCTGTTTACAGAACAATTTTAAGATAAATAGATAAATTGACAACTTGTAAATTCTGAAGTCCCAGGGGCTTTTGTTTGGTTATCAAAGCACCAAAGGGAACATGCATTCTGCATGTGTCAAAAAAAAGCTTTTAAAACTCAATTTTCAATTTGCTAAAATCTAAAATTTTAAAACAAATTCATCAACTGTAGGCAATTGATTCTTTTTTTAATCTTTAACAAAAAACTGTCATCTTAGGAAGGCCACAGACACTACAGACTAGTGTGACTAGTGTTCAGACATTATTATCTAATTGTCTAGATTTTGAAAAGAGGACTAAAAACACAAAAGTATTGAATAACTTTAAATGTCGCTCACCTTGTATTTATGTTTCCTCCAAGGAAGATTAGGAACACCATAGTCGTACCTAAGTTCTTGGCCTATTTCAATATCTCTTGTTGAAAACAAGCATAACATTGGCTCTGAACCTTTTAAAATTTTTCTCATCTTGCAATTTATATCCCTGCCTTGACCATCATTGACCATTCTTCCCAATCCAGTTGTTTTTGAAGCATCAATGCTGAAAAGATAGATATGAGCACATTTATATCTGATATAAAAAACAAGCATCAATTAAAGTGAGATTATCAATATAAATCTGGGACTTGACTATGCCAGTAGATGATTTGGATACTAAATCTTAGAGTTGGAATATTTTGGCATCAGCAAAATTTGGTGTTCAGTCAAAACAGACTTGTTTTACTTTTGTGGGTTGAATTTCTCATATTTTTTCATCTGATGTGATTTATATATACTCAATGTAGTGAATAATAGTATTTTGTACCAGTAAGTTGTCTTGTTATGATCAAAAAAGAATTTGAAGCCCGAGATGGAATCATGGGCTTCACATTCCTTCCTGTTTCCAGCCATGGGAGCTGACAAGTTTCCTTTGTACTCCAACAGAAATTCTCCACGTGAAAACCGTTTACCAGCAAACACTCCATAACCTAAAAATACAGTATGATTAAATGCAATTATATTGAAAAATTGTATGATTTTACAGGACTTAAGTTTTTTCTGGAGGCTCTCATGGGCCGATAATGGGCCCCATTCCCAAATGAAATTACATGTATTTCAAATTTTAGCCAAATTACCAACAATTGCATGTTACTCCTGGAATTTTCATTCCAATTTCAAAAAATTTCTTCCCAAAATGAGGTGAAAAGGCCCTTTCCCAAATCATTGAGATAAAGCCCTGTTTTGTTTTTTAAAACTGACCCACCCTTTTTGTGGCCCTCTAGTGGTGTACCGATAATCAGAAACATTGATTAAATCGAATTTGACATGGGTCTGACTCTTATTATAGATTCTGGCCGAGAAAGATTGATAATGCATTTTTGCCATGTCAATAATTAAAGCGAAGAATGTACATACAGTTGTCTCTCTTGTCTTTTGGTTTTCTTTACTGAATAATCCCGGAGTTACCCATATTGCTTCTACTGAAAACATGCTGACATTTAAGCATTGCTTGACTAAGATTCATCATGTGTAATCATCATCAGTAAAGCGTTTTAAAAGCAGGGATCAAGTAATACACTGCGCGAAAGACGAAGAATCTGGATATTTTTTCCATATCGATTACATTAGTTTCCGTAACCTTTTGGTTCAGTTTGCAAATGATAATAGATTATCAATCGATTCTGATGGTCTGATTATCATTTTCAAAATCTGGCTGATTCCAAGCACTAATGTACATGTACATGGAAACCAGGATTGTTACTGGAAGCAAAATCGTTCCTCATGTAGGTCTTATTGACAATCAGCAAGTAAGGTTTTTACTACGAGAGCTCTTTGCAGAAATTAATTAAGATGTTAACTCAAGTGACATAAGTTACAACTCTTCCTTACCAATGAATGTATCAATAAATTTTAAACTAAAATCCTCTTCATTGTTTCCCTTCCTGGCATCGTCGTCTGAATTATTTGGTTTCGCATTTCTTGACCTTGTCCTGTATGTTTTTGACATTCTGTTAAAAATAATACAAAGACTTTAGAAAATTTTTCTTTTTATGTTTTACTTTAACCTAATAGAGCATATTTGAAAAAAATGTTGGCTAAAACGTTGTTCAATAAATGTTTCATATGCAAAAGGAAAGGGAAAATGCAGGGCTAAACCAGGGTTCGAACCCAGGACCTTCTAAACTGTAGATGGATGCTCTACCGATTGATCTACCCCTGAGACACATAAATGTGGTTGAACCGGTGTGACCACAGTTGTTTGTTTAGTAAATTAAAATGATGAACCTGGTAATCAGATGTCTTACTGCAACTAAACTAATAAACTATGCAAAATATCAAATCAATGACTTAATAGTTTGTCCAGGAAAAACCAAACATGGTAGTGCAATATATATATACGCTGTAAAACCTTTAAAGAAAATGACATTGGTGTCCAAATGGAAAAACTTGAAATTCATTCAGTGATTGTAGAAAAACACTGTCGTAATTTGTATTTACATACCACAGAGAACATGTATCGGACATCATTAAAGATTTGTCTGAACTGTTACAAGTGTGCAGCAACTACCAAAAGTTCGGATACAATATTGTCTTTACTGGTGAC